ACTTTCTCCTGTTTATCAGCCTGATTTAATACTAAAGGACATTTCCAATAACGTTGTATATAATTCTAAACTATCAGTCATCTTACAAAAGAATCATAAACAATACCTTAAATATTTCACAACAGAGAATTAATTCGCAGATTGGTATTAAGGATTTAAGTTGCATATTTGTTCTTAGTTTATGTAAAAGAAATAAGACAATTTGCCTGTTTCTTGGCAAAGTCAATGCAGTCTCTGGGGAAGAGGCTTAAAGAGCCTGTGCTATTTTCTACCTGAAGACAACTGTTCTGGACTCATGCCAAAGTAGTGAACATTATGGATATTTTACTTTGAGATTTAAAAGATTTTAAATTCTTGAAAATAGGTGGCCTGCTTTCCAGAAATAAAGTCTTAATTCTAGTACTTTATTGCCAAAGGCAAACAAGCAACTATATGAACACCACCACCTGGACAGTGCCACAGTGAGGAAACTTAATTGTTCCTAAATGTTTATATTAAAATACTTTATATTTATGCTCATAACGTGCCACAAATTTAATCTAAATTTTAAATTGTACCTAGCATTGTGCCTCAAACAGAACAAAATTTCAGTAAGAGTTGAGCACTTCAAGCAGTATAGGAGGGTAAGGTAAAATGAGAGAGGCTGAGACAGATCCAAAACAAGACCAAAAGTGATTTAGTAAGAAAGGAACAGAAAGACAGATGCAGGTAAACATATGAAGCTGAAACCAGAACTGAAAGGATTCCTAGGAGAAAGTTCTAAAACAGCAAAGGAAATCTATTTCTTTCTGTCTTCCAGCACCTAGGGATGAAGTCCAGGGCTTCACACAGCTAAGTGAACACTAGCACACGCTAGCAGCAGAAGAAAAGCCAAACTCTGAAAACTAAAAATGGTGAAATCAAATCCATATAGCTTACAGGATCAGTGAGAGAGGGGGCACATTACCACATACTGCCCCAAAATGTGTTTCTAAAAATGAAGAAGGGACTCCACTGCATGAGTCTAAAGGGTGCAACTAGATGAGCTTTTCTGTGAGTGCTAGCTTATCCAACACCAACAGATGAAGGCAGGCACAGTGCTTCTTCCCACTGCATGCTCATCACCACTGCCAGCTTGCTTGTTTCTGAACATTATGTAAGCAGATTTATACTCAATATTCTGCCATGCCTGGCTTCTTTCCCTCAACTTTACTTGACTTTTTTTTTGTTGTGGGTATCAGTAATACACAACATAGTGGTCTACTCCTTCTCCTGTGAGGGGGACATTTGTTTGATTCTACTAGCCTAGTGTGAGTAAGTTGCTTGTACAAGCACTATTTTGTGTGTGAGTTTTCAAGACAGAATGTCTCTGTGTAGCTCTGTAGACCAGGCTGGCCTCGAACTCACAGAGATCTGCCTGCCTCTGCCTCCTGAGTGCTAAGAGTAAAGGCACATGCCACCAACACCTGGCTTGTACAAACTCTTTTATACACATCTTTTGGTAGACATAAAACACTTATTTTTTCTTGGTTCTATGACAACAGGTTGTTAGGCCACAAAGGTTTGTGTTCAATTTCAGTAGTTAATGATAGATTTTCAAAGTGAGTATATCAATTACTTATCAACAGTGTTTTTTAGAATTCACATAAAAATATATTGACACTTTATGAGATGGGGGGGCTCACTATATTATCCAGACTGGCTTTGAACTTCTGGACTCAAACTATCCTCCTGTGTTAGCCTCCTGAGCAGTGGGACTAAAGGCATGGGCTAACATGCCTGGAAATAACTTATGCACAGATGAACTTATAGTTTGTAAAGCCATATACAATATTCCACAGAAATACCTAGCTGCCTTTAATGTTAAAATAACACAGACAAATAGTAGGAGAGAAGGGAAGAAGACAGGAACTATCCAAGAAGAGACAAAAGAGCAATTTCCTAGTTACTGGTACTAGTTTACATCTTGGTAGGTATTTGTATTGTATCTGTGCATATATTACTCAAATTTGTTGAATGTACATTTAAGTTTCCTTCTGTGTAAATTTGATCACATTTAAAAAATAAAGATTCATTAAATATGCTAACCTGTAATTAATGACAAGCATATTTAACTGAGAGTAAATTATAATAGTGTCTGTAACTTACTTTGAAATATTTCAAATTAAGATAGAATGCCATATGGATAGAAGGATTGATATATGAACAGTTATGTGGTAAAATACAGTATAATTAATAAAAAGCTATGGGAAAGATACATGGTTGTTCACTGAGTAATTGAACATCTCTGCAGTTTTCCATGGCAAAATACTGAGAAAACACATTACTAAAGAGCTGCAAATTGACAGATATTAACTTAAAATGGTGTAATGGTACAATGTAAGTTATAAATTTATAATGGAAAAAGTAGGAGTATTCAAGCACATTGCTTTGGGATATAGAAGTTCCCTATCCTCAAGGTATATTTCAAAATTCACAGTGGATGTCTAAAGTGGAGACAGTACCATAGCCTGTAAACATTCTTTTATTGAAATACATGTTACTATGAAAAAATTAAACTTATAAATTACATAAAGAGATTAACAATAGAAAATAATTAAAACAGTATGTTGTTAAAAGAAGTCATTTGAATGTGTTCTTTCCCTGTCTCCCATATATAACACTGTGCTTCTGAACTGTGAGAAAGGAAAGCACAGTTAATAAACTCTTTATGTTGTGAGAATTATATTTTACAGACTACTAAATCGAAATTCAGAAAGTTAATATAAGTCTAACCAGACATTAAGTGTCAAGACCAGGCAGGAGGGGGAATCCAACTTTCCTCAAGTTCTGGGTCCTCCTGAACCAAACATCTTCCTCACAGGTAAGGAAACTGTTCCTCCATCCCTGTACAGACCAGCTCTGACTTTTCAAACACTCCTTCCTACAATACCAAACTTTCTTCCCACTGTAGGTGTGATTCTTTGAGGCCTCACACACTGCAATCCCCACATCACTACATTTCATAGAAGGCGAAAGCATTGGAAATGTAAGATTCCTTTTCCAGTTAGTATTTTTAAATATCAACTAACAAAGTTTTAAGTAGGTATAAGTAGGATAATGCTGCATTAAATTGAGATAAGAATACACGTGATCAACCCTATGTAATCGAGAATAGGACCTCAAAATACCTTTTTCTCCCAATCTTTACCTTTTTTAGAATGCGAAATGGTGCTTATTATAAAATAATTTCCATAGCCTTAGAACCTTCTCTTAGAGTTAAATGTGAACAGATTTTTTTTTCCACACATCGTTTTAAACCTGAAAACCTAGTGGGCTTTTTCTTTCTCATCTCAGTTTGGAATTCTATCTTCCAGGAATGTTTTTGTACAACTAGATATACAACCAGAGATACTTCCGTAGCACTTTTTGTTTCACAGATTACCACAAGTGGCCAACCTGTGAGAGCACTATGTTAATGAGATCCTAAGCATTTTCTTTTGGACCACGAGAAGATATTTTCCACAGGCAAGATTGTAAGGAATGACCGTGACCTTTCACTTTTGAGCATGTACCTACAACCTTAAATCGGTATTTCTTACTTGGCAAGCACACAGATGGGGCTCTCTAAAAGACTCCTAAAGTCACAAATCTTGCCCTTGTATTAGTAACACCAAAAACAAAACAACCAGTAATTCTACCTCGACATTTAAGTTCATACGAGAAGAACTTCTCACAGCCTAATGGAGGCTGAGTGATGCTGTTTTTTCCTCTTGATGTCTTAAGTTGTTAGTGTTAGGAGGACCTGGAGATGATTATTTTACAGCTGCAGAAATGGTCGTGCGGGCAGTTAAAATGATTACTTCCTAACAGTGCCTGAACCACACACCAGATCCCCTAAATTCCCAGCCCAGTGTCCTTTCCATTTTAAAACCATGCCAAAACAAACGTGTACAAAAACGATTATGTCCACCCATTCCCTCCACTTCACTAAATTTCAGCCTGCGTCTCTTGATGCCACTTCCTCTTGTGAATGAGTGTGTTTCCCCCGTGGTCTCGTTATCTTCATTTTATTACCACACAACACTTGAATTCACACTTCATGTCAGCTTTTCCCTTGGCTATTTTTGTTCCTCAAGGATACCAGCATTGTCTTCAAAATGCCCTGGCTATCCTTTAACTATATTTATTTCAGGCTGCCAATTGCCAACTATTACAAAATGAAGGGTAAAAGTGATTTATTTTTAAAACATAAAGCGCGCACACACCCGGTAGTGCTCCTTTCTCAGTCAGAGAGCAGAGCGTAATAAAAATACCGAATGCTAGGTATCAAATGCAGATGCTTTCTAGAGAAAACCCAGCGACAGCCTTGCTATTTAGGAAGAGAGCTGTGGTTCGGGGCCAAGAATAAGGTTCGGAAACTGACCTAAAACAAATATGGAGGTGAAAAGGCACAAGGCGCTTCTTGAACTCAGCAGCCTGTGACAGGCTATTTGATGTCAGTTTCCAAGAACGAGGGGCACCGGGGAGGCACATGGACAATGAGAGGGCAGGCGGGGCACAGGGAATCGCGCCCAGGAAAAACTCAACAAGTCTGGAAGGTGAAGGATGCACCGAGGTGGAAGATGCTGCCTCGAGCTTCCCGCTGGCCTCCGCACGACTAGCAACCCCTTTCCAGGACCGACCCCACGGCTCTCGGCGGCTGGGGGACAGCCTTTTGCTCCCCTACCTGCCTCGACGTCTACCCAGGGCCGTGCTGGGAGCCGGCGCCTCCACCCCGGGCCCGCTTCCCGGGCAGGATGGCGACGTCGGGCCTGTCCGGCCGGACCCGCCTTCGAAAGTGGGCGTCAGGATGGCCGCCGAGCGGGCGGAACCCTCGCCTCGGGCCCGAGCCCGGTTCCTAGCGGGGCTCGCGGCTCGGCCCAGGCGCTGCCGGCCGTGTGGCGGGCTCGCGCCGAGGTGATGGGGAAAGGGGGCGGGCGCGCCATCATGAAGGGAAAATGGTGGGCGGGCGGGCCCGCGCGCGCGGCCGCCGTACTCACCCGGGCGGGCCAGTGCGGGTAGCCCTTCATCTTGGCGAAAACCAGGTCTCCCGCTTTGTACTCGCGGGGCCGCGGACGCGCCATCCCGGTCGTTCCCTTTGCCCGCTCGTCCTTGGTCGCCGCGAAGATGCCGGGAGGCCGCCCCCTCCCTGCGCGGGCCGACGGACCGCGCCGCGCTCCCCGCGGGCCTGAAGCCGGCCGCTCCGACGAGAGAAAGCAGCGAGGCAGCGGCGGAGGCAAGCGGTGTGTGCGTGCGAGTGGGGTGTGTGAGTGTGTGTGAGTGTGAGTGTGTGTGGCGGGGGGACCGCAGGCCCCGCAGATCCCCGCCCGGCTGCGGGGGAGGGGAGCACGCGTCCGGCCGCACCGATTCCCGCTGCCGCCGCGTGCAGCTCACAGGAGCCGCGTCGCCAGCCTCATGCCGCCGCCGCCTCCCCGCCGAGCTTTCTGGGTTCCTTGCGAGCTCCGGGCCTCGCGCCTCCTCCGAATTCCTCCTCGGGCAGCGACCGCAAACACGATCTTATTATTGTTCTCGCGCGCGCTCAGCATCCCCCCCCCCACTCGCCCGCCCCGCTTCCCTCCCCTTGCGCGCCGGCCGGTTAATTCCTAGGTGCACGGCCGGCTTTCGCGGAGAAACCGCGCGCGCCGCCCGGCTCAGTCGGCGGGCTTGGTGGTGGGCGCGTCTTCCCGCAGCAGCGGTGCCGGTGCTCGGCGGGTGGGAGCGCCTACTCCGAGGATGCCCGCCGCCTGATCTCTTTTGTTCTTGGCCCGGAGCTGCCTGATGTAGCCCAGCCAATCACTACCCGGCCGTCCCTCTTCCCTCCTGCCCGCGCCCACCCACTACGGACTGCATCCCCCCCCTCTCCCGGCTGCCCCCCACCCACGGGCCACTAACGCGGGTGCTATCTGGTGAGTGGGGGGGGGGCGACAAAGGCGCCCCAGGCATGGGGATGGCCGCGCAGGGGACTCTGCCTGGTCTCTAGGCTGCTGGAAAGAGCAAGCGAACTCGTTAGGTTCTAGCCCCAGGTCTGCCTTAACAATGCAGTGTGACCCACCTAGGGCAGCGGCTTCACTGGAGTCAAGGCCGGTCCTCACCGACAGGATGACAAAGTCAGGTTTTGAACATGGACCTATGGTTCAGTGCCTGTAGCCATTATGCTTCTCTGTGTGGGAGCTTCAGGGGCCAACTGTTTTGGAGGAAAGGACTTAGCTTGACAAGTCACTTGCTTTCGATTCTGGCAGCATGCTGGACAGCAGCTTTTGGTGATTTCTTTATACAGGTCAGTAGGTCTAGAACAAATGTGTGCATTCACCATTTTATTTGGAATCAACTGACAGCTTTCAGAGACATTTTGGGAGCCAGAATCTTTATAACATCCTCCTTTGTAAGAGATAAATAAATTAATTCACCCTTTTCTGAGTTTGCCTGATGAATGAATGAACGCTGCCTCTTCCGTCACCATGAACATACCTACTTGAGAGGGTCCACTGATGCTGTTGTGGCCCGCACCTAGTTTAGAGAACAGTTCTGGTTTGTGGACTATCCTCCTTGCCATTTCTCCCCTCTGTAGAAGGTGGTTTTTCCAAGCATCTGCCATCTGCTTTACTTGCCTGTGCTGTAGAATGGTTTTAACAAAGCCTTCCAATGACCAGGGATGTAGAGTCTATAGACTTTCTCTGTGGAGTGTTTACTTTGTTCTTCGTACTTTGTTCATGTGGCCATTTCTTTGCTAGTGCATTTCCTTTTTGTATCTCGTAATTCTCCCACATCCACCACCCCCAATCTTTCTATGGGCTCACCTTCTCTTCCAATGCAAAATTAGTCTAGGTCTTTTACCTTAGCTGTGATGGTCTGATGATGTGCTTTTTACTTCTAGAAATCATGTCACTCCTATCATAGGTTCCTGTAGAGTGTTTCCTAGATTCTTTTGTCAAATCCACATCTCTTGACAGGCCACCAAAGCCCTAACTGTGCAAAGCCAGAATCGCCTAGTCTCCTGGTGGGCTTAGGGTGGTAATGAGTAGAACAGAGAATTGAGAGACTTTATCAGTATGAAAGCTGTAGAAGGAAGTTAAGCTGGGAAATAACATGATCACAGTTGGTTTAGACAGAGTACTCACTCAGGTGGCCAGGATAGAGGTGGATCTGTAGATGAGACTGGACCAGGACCCTCACTGAGGGACTCTGACCAGGAGAGAGATGACATGGTCTCAGACATTTTGCTGACTCATGAGTGTCAAGTAGGTAGGAAGAATGGAGACTAATGGGATTCATTGATTTATAGGTTAAGTGACAGGGTTGTCAGCATTGGGGGAGGTTAGGAAGTAGGTGAAGAATAGGCAGCTTTGCAGAGAAGATCTTGTATGAGTTTTGGATGTGTTGAGATTTCTGTGTGTCATATTTAGTGCGCTGTTGGTTAAGGCAGAATGTAGAGATTACAGTGATACAGTATACAAGTGGTGACTGAAGCCACGGCATAGTCCAGGAGCATGTAGAATGAGAGACTCAATTGCCAAGTTTGGAGACAGGTCACCAAAAGTTTGGGGTCAAGAAGAAGACATTCAGTGTCCTAGGATCCAGAGAGTTAAAGCATTTTTGAAGAAAGGAAACGTCTAAGTAGATGGCATAGAGAGGATAAGTGAGCTGCTGGAGGAGATGGGCCCATTTATTATGCCGACTGGGAAGTCATTGGTGACCTTTTGGGAACTGTTTGAATAGAAGGGGAAAGAAACCAGAGTGGTGACTTGAAGTGCATCAGAGGCAAAAATGTGGGAGCAGAAAGTGCAGACAGCTCACTCTCACTAAATAAATACATCCGGTTCTAATAAATACTAAACAAACACCAGTGGAGAAAAGACAGTAAAAGAGCAGGGAGGAGGGCTGTTCTGTATGGTGTTTGGCTAGTTTTTAAAGACAGGACAAATTGGAGTTTGTAAATGGGGAAGCAGCTAACCAAGCAGTTGGAAGCAATGTAAACAGGGTAAGTGACAGGCTGTTGGTCATTTTGAGAAGGCAGACATTTCTCCCAGTCTTTTGGTTTCTTGTTTTCATTGGCCCGACTCTCATGCCCTAACCAAGCCAGACTTAGTGACACAAAAGCTGGGACTCCCCTTATGGGGTGTCTTTGGATGATCATCAGGACTGTCATGATGTGCCTGGCTGAGAGCCTGTCTATCTCTACAGTTCTTTGATCACTTTTAATTTCAGTATTCAGAAATTCCCCTGGGCTAATACTCCTCTCTACCTCTGACTCCATGGTTTGTTTTTGCAATCCTATGTCACTGTTATCCATCCATGTGTTCTGTTGGGTTGGTTCTGCTTTCATTTTCTCCTTCATATCTTAAGTTAGCGACCAGTAAAGTTCCAGTAGTTCCTTCACATCCTGCCCTTAAATTCACCCATTCCAACTACTCAAAATCTATTCCTTTGCCTGAGATTGTGTGAAGTGGAATATGTGTGTGTGTGTGTTTGTGTGTCTAAAATTTAGACAATGCTGAGTGTACGGTACAGTAACTGCTCATTAATTGGCAGGGTTGAAAGTAGCTGAGAAGGGGTTCTGGGAAAGGTGAGTCTATTGTAGCACACACAGTCACTGTGTTAGGTGAGAGTACTTGTGACCTTGCATGAGTCCATTTCAACTGGTTTTGTTCCTTGAAGCATCTCTTAAATACCTGCAACTCAATCCCAAGGTCTTACCACCCTTGAGAGAGGATGAACTTACAGACACTGACATCTTCTTGAAAGTCATTAGCAAACAGCTGTGAGAGAACTCTCTCATCTAATGTGCATTGATGGCAGTGTCAGATGGGCAGAAGGCACCATAAAGCCTACATGGGCTAGAATTGGAGAGATAGGGGCCAGGCAGCATTGGCAGAGTGGGATGGGTAACAGAATCAACAACACGGAGGCCAGAAAGTAGAGAAGCAGAGGATGCTCTCACAATAATCTAGGGCAGAGTAAAACTGCAGATGCTGCTGCTTGGACTGCCTGAGATTATTGCAGGTCTTGGGGAATCTGAGGCCATTTCCACTCTTCCTTGTTCACTGTCCTTTTCCAGCCAGAGGAAGAAAGTGGATAGGTTTAATGAGTTTGTTGCTACTTGAAGAGAGGAGATCTAAGATATAGAACATATTAAATGCTCAGCGCATCTACAAATTTTCCTGTAATTTTTGTTAGTATTGTGCTAATGTTGGTGTACACGTTGCTGAAAGCATTAGTTTAATATTAGTATCCATTCATTCATTCAGTGAATATCTGTTGAACACGGGTGGGCACCAGTCATTTTCTAGAGACCCGGGACCACAGAGGGCAAAGAGTGATAGTGCCAGATGCAAAGCCATTAAGGTAGGGGTGCAGGATTCTGGGGAGGCTGGGAGACCTGACTCTGGGTTTCTCGAGGGGATGTGAAGTGGAGGATGTAAAGGAAGTGATGTTTTGATAGTTCTGGGCCTATTGCTTTTATTTTTAATCCTCTTAGAGTCCCAATACCATGTCAAGAATTGTGACTATTTTGCTGGTGTGGGAAGGGAGTAGGGCATATGGAGAGATGGTGTCCTGGGTAGCTTAAATTGTCAACTTGACACAGCCTCGTCAGTCACCTGAGAAAGGAGGCTCAACTGATGGATCATATGATCAAATTGCCTGTGGGCATATTTGTGGGGAGTTATCTTGATTGTTACTTTGTTTGGGGGAGGGAGCCCACTATAGGTGGCAACATTTCTCTGGCATATGGTTCTGGGACTTATAAGAAAGCTAATTAAGAATAAGGCTGCCATCAAAGCAGCATCCCTCCATGGTTTCTGCTTCAAATTCCTGCTTGAGTTCTTGCCCCAAACTCCTCTCAGTGATAGACAGTGGCCTGGAAGTGTATGCCTGAGAATGACCTGGAAGTATACACCTGAGAAATATTTTGCTTCTTTAGTTGCCTTTGGCCAAATTGTCCTATCACAGCAATAGAAAGGAAGCCAGGCCAGGTGGTGAGTAAAACACTGAAAAGACAAAGTGATAGAGTGAGAAGAGAGAAACCCAATCAGTTTCCAGCTCTTACCATCTCCCCATTTGAGTGACCAGCTGTGTGGGTGAAGCAATACTGGATTCTCTAACCCTAGATAATCTATACTGGAGATAGTCGTACGGTAGTGTGAAGGCAAGCTATACCCACTGAACCATACCCCAATCAATTACAGAA